AGGGAATGAGTGAATCTTATTCTCATAGAATTTGACTTAAGGAGGGAATAACATACACACTCAATTGGGTGTGGAAATGTCTTACCCTACAGAAAAATGGGGGGAAGGGGACAAGAGAGTAGGGGAATGATAGAGAGAAGGGCAGATTGGGAAAGGGAGTAATCAGAAGCAAATACTTCTGAGGAGGGACAGGGTCAAAAGAAAGAATAACATAAATGGGGGGGTGGGATAGGATTAAGAGAAATAGCGTTAGTTTTTCACAGCGTGTCTACTATGGAAGTGTTTTGCATAACTGCACATATATAACCTATATTGAGTTGCTTGCCTTATCAATGAGGGTGGGTGGGGAGGGAGGGAGGGAGAAAATTTGGAACCCAAAGTTTTAAAAACACATGTTTAAAAAAAATGTTTTCACATGCAACTGGGAAATAAGAAATACAGGAAATAGGGTACAGAAATCCATCCTTCCCTACAGGAAAATAGAAGGGGAAGGTGATAAGAGAAGGGGGGGAGAGATAGAAGGGAAGGCAGACTAGGAGAAGGGGTATTTAGAATGCATGCCATCTTGGGGTGGGGGGAGTTGAGCGATGGGGTGAAAATTTGGAACTCAAAATCTTGTGGAAGTAAATGTTGAAAACAAAAAAATAAATAAAAATTACCATTTAAATAAAAAAAAAGAATTACCAGTATCATCTTCCCATGTAGGGATGTAAATAGTTTAGCTCTATTTAATCCCTTTTTCTTCCTTTTCCCTTTTTTACCCTTTTATGTTTCTCTTGGGTCTTGATATTGGTGGTCAAACTTTTGTTTTAGTTCTGGTCTTCTCCTTCTGAAAGCTTCAAATACTTCTTTTTCATTGAATAACTATTTTTCCCTCAATGTATTATGCTTAATTTTGCCAAGTAAGTGATTTTTGGTTGTAGTCCTAGCTCCTCTGTCCTCCAGAATATCATGTTCCATGACCTCTGATACTTTAATGCTGTGACTGCCACATCCTGTGTAATCCTGATTATGATTCCCTGATATCTGAATTAAATTTGGCTATAATGTTCCTTGGGGTTAATATTTTGGAATCTCTTTCCTGAGGTGATTGGTGGATTCTTTCAATGCCTATTGTTGCCCTCCAGTTCCAGGATGTTCAGGAGAGTTTACCTTGATAACCTCTTGAAAGATGCTGTCCAGGTCCTTTTTTTGATTATGACTTTCAGGTAGTCCAATGATTCAGAATCTATTTTCCAGGTTAGTTGTTTTTCTCATGAGGTATTTCACATTTTCTTCTATTTTTTCATTCTTTTGAATTTGATTGATTCATGATGTCTCATAAAGTCATTAGCGTCTACTTGTCTAATTCTAACTAGTAATATGTTATTTTCCTCAATTGACTTTTATACTTTCTTTTCCATTTGTCCAATTCTACTTTTTAAAACAGTTTTATAAGCTGTTGACTCTTTTTTCATAAATCTCTTGCATCACTCTTTTTCCAATTTTTCTTCTACCTCTCTTACATGATTTTGAAGCTGCTTTTTGAATTCTTCCATGACAGCTTTCTGGACTTGAGGCCACTTTCTGTTTTGCTTTGGGGTTTTGCTATTAGGTGTTTTGACATTGTTGTCCTTTTCTGAATTTGTGTGTTGGTCTTCCCTGTCATGGCCCAATTCTTTTTTTGCTGTTTTTTGTTCATCTTTTTTTTTTACCTTTTTTCCTTTCTTTTGAATTTGAGCTCTGCTACCAGGGTGGAAGGGGCATTGTCTCAGGCTTCTTGTGCTAGTGACTGTAGGCCCTGGCTGTTTGCCTGGTGCTGATATGATGTTGCCCTGAGGCCCCTAGAGGACCCTCATGTTTGGTGCTGTACTGAGGCAGAGGGGTGAGCATTGGCTGTCACTGTTGGAGATAGTAAAGGTCTCGCAGCTTAGGTGGTGCTGAGCTGGAATCTTAGTGGCAGTGTGTAGCATGTGTTGAGACCCAGTGACATGTGTCTACATTTTTCCCGGGGTACACTGAGGCATGCAGAGGTCTGTCTTTGGAGGTTGCGTGTTTGCCTGGGGCTATGCTGAATCCTGGCAGGCCATACCTGAATGGCAGCTACCTGTTTGGTTAGGCACCAATGGGACTGGGGTCTACCTGTTTCCCTGGGGCTGTGCTGCAGTACATGGGGGTCTGCCTGCTGAGGAGACCTGTTTGTCCAGGGCTACACTGAAGCACATGGTACTTCTCAGATCTGGAGTCTTCCAGTTGCCCTGTCTGTGCTGAGGCATGTGGGGGTTACTGGTGTTGGTGCTTGCCTACTCCACCTCACTGTGGCTCAGAATTTCTTGCTGGTTTGCTGAGGTGGGACTCACTGCTGGCTTGTCAGGATGCTTCATGTCTGGCACTGTGTTCCCTTTCACTTGAATGAGATGGACCTCTCCTGCAAATCCTTCAACTTCCTTGAGCTGAAAGATTGTTTCACCCCATCCTTTTTCTGGTCCTACCATTCCAGGATTTGTTTTGGGGCTCTGTTTTATGGTGGTTTGGGGGTGAATATGGGAGAGCTAATAGTGATTTGCTACTTAGTCCAACATCTTAGCTCCCTGGAAGTCCCTGAATTTCTCATTTCCCTTTCCAATGTGATTGTCAGGCTTATAGATCAAGGGAATGTTGCAAATATAGATAACTGATAATGAAATCCATTCTTAAAGCCCTAATAGTATCATTTTAGATAAGTGTGAGAGATGTGTGGTAAGTCAAAGTATGGTTAGTTGGCTTAAGCCTCCAGTAGTCTATTAATGGTCAATTTAGAAAGAAGTCTCTAGTGGAGTGTCTCAGGAATCAGTGCTTGACTCTATATAATATAATTTTTTTAAAATCACTGAGTCAGGTAAAGACATAAATGATTTTCTCATGGAAGAGGAATTAGAATAGATGTCCGGTCTCAGATGACAGAACTAGAAGTAATGAATGATGGTTGTAGTTGCATAGAAATCGATTTAAGCTGGACAAGCTTCCTTACAATTAGAGCTGCCCCAAAATAGAATATGTGTGTGAGTGTGTGTGTGTGTGTGTGTGTATGTGTGTGTATGGAAAGAGAGAGAGAGAGAGAGAGAGAGAGAGACTTTCTTATCTAAGTATGGGTTGGACTAGATGATCTATGAAGTCCCTTTCAATTCTGTAGTTTTGTGATTCTGAAAGTAGAATGAAGGTGTTGCCATATGAAAAGCTGAAAGGAATTTAAGGCCATTCTGTGTAACCTGGGACTGTTCTATTTTTATTTTTTGTATGCCTAGTATGTAGCAGAGTTCATGGTGCATTGTAAACACTAAAAAATATTGGCTGAAATGAATATATTCTGACCCAATCATTCTTTGAATGAAAAAACTGAGTCCCAGAGACTTCATGAGTTATTCAAAGTCATCCATAGTAGCAAAACAGAGGTTTAAACTCATGTCTTCTACTGTCAAAGTCACTACTCATTGGATGTGGGGGCCAAGATAGAGAGAGCAAGACAAAGATAACTGAAATTTTGATTCCAACTTTCCGAAAGAGAAATAAGGAAGTCAAGAAGTGAAACAGATTTTAGAGAAAATAGTTGATGGGAACAGGTGATGGATTTGAGATCTTGGGACATAGGTTTGAATTCTGGTTCTCCTTACTGCCTGTATGATTTTGGATAAGTCATTTCTCAGTTTCTTCATTTGTTCAAAATTGAAGGGAGTGAAGAAGATTAACTTTGGGCATTCTTCCAGATAAAATTTTGTGTTCTTTTGAAGCTATGGTAATGAATTTACTTTCCAATATGCTAAATGTCAGATGAAACAGAAAAGTCTGATAGATATGTCCATTAACTAGTTAGACACAGGGATTGAATCTTGATCTGAAGCCAGATATAAAGATTTGGGAGTCATCTGCAAAGGGATTAAATGTCAAACCAGTGAGAGTGGATGAAATTGTTGAGAGAGAGATAGCTTCAGGTAGTTTAATCAGCATCATCTAAACACAGCATATACTTGGCTTCCTAATCCAGCGTCATTCTTATTGTTGAAGCTAGAAACACTGAACCTCAACACAAAAGGTTCTATCTCATCAAGACACCTTTTCCTAGGCAGAAAAAACAACAGGAAGCCTAGACAAACACTGGCTTTCTACTAATCCTGGGAAGTAGGGCATTACCCTCGTCTTTTTAAAACTGATCTGTTTATATTGCATTTCTTGGCTGGAATTCATGTCTTACTCTTCTTACAAGAACTAAATCATATCCCATGTCACCTCACAAGTCTTCTCCAACTACCCCAGCTCTAGCTGATCATTCTCTCCTCTAAATTAATGCATTGACTATGCCACTCATTTGATATTCAATCTATGCTATTTATTGGTTATCTATGTCTATACTCCTAAGTAGAATGTATGATTCTTGTAGCATTGGCCATATTTAATACTTCTTTGCATCCTTCATGTCTGGCATACTGTGGAATACCTGCACTAGGTTTTTAATAAACATTCATTGGTCTAGATGATATTGATCAAAACCAGTGGCTCCAAAAGGAGGATCAAGAGTGTGTGTGTGCAAGGAAAATCTGTCCTGTGAGATTCTAAATGGTGTTAATGAACTGTTTCCACTCCAGTGCCAGAGCTTGGAATTGAGTAAGACAGGAAATATTTGGTATCTTCAGTTAGAAATCATTAGGAGTAACAGAGGAATATCAGGTATAGTCATCAGCTCCACCCATCCTTGGTTCTATGATCATTTCTCTCCTCTACATGTCTCAATGGAATAGGCCACTCCTGTGTGTAAGAACTATCCCTCTGTCACCTGCCCAAGTCACTTTGACAGGTTCTGTTATACTAGCTGTGGCAATATTTTCCCTGTTGCCTTGACATAGAAAGGATCCAAAGATAAAAGGCAGAGCTAAATCTATAGTTTAGTGACTTGTTCCTCTGTTATCTACCCATGCCCCTAACCAATTATGCAGTTATCAACTACCATCAGAATTTGAGTACATAGTTAATATAGAGGAGTTCCTTACAGTGTTTTTCCCACTTCCAGTGGAAGTTTGGCAACCAGCAAGACAAGCAGATACATAGGTGATTCCATTTTCTCCACATATAGGATCCCATTCTGTCTTTGAACATGTACATCCTGAATTGCACTTTGAAAAGAGAGCTCGTTCATAATAAGAGACTTGTCTGGTTCTGTAAAGAAATATAGCAATATACAATATTGCCTCTTAGCAGGCCACACACCCTCTACCCAAAATTAATTTTTTAAAAATAATAGCCTTTAGTTGAATTAGCATGCATGAAGAAAATAATTGTAAAGAGCATTTTAAAAATGGTGGCCAAAGAAAATATTGTCACATCACTGAATTCTGAGAGTATTTTAGGTACTCCGGTGGCTATATATATATGTACTTGAGGTTGGAAGCACCAGTACACAAAAGCTACAGTCTCTGATTTTTGACTTCTGGTCAATAACCTTTATTGAGTTCCACTTTTACTTGAACTTGCTTCTGTTGTCTCC